TTTAATCGACACGTATCACCGAGTCGAAGCCAAGGAAGCATTTCAGGTTGTCTATCAAACACTAGCAAGCTTCTCTAAAGGCCTTTGCCAACGGATACTAGCAACGACCGAGGCAGTGGCTATACGGCTAGCGAATCCGATGTTATGCTGTCAGAAAACCCTGACGCAAGTGCTCACTCTGCCGTGGCCAACACCAACTTCAGTTGATGACGACATGCCGCCTTAAATCCCTAATTACAGTGATGGGTACTCCGTGTACTCAATTCAAAAACACCACTCAAGTACCCTCTTATCCCCATCCCCTAGTCCTGAGGACCAAAATCCGCCGACCTCGTCATGCAGGCAGCGTGGGACGATGAGCGCTAATGACTTAATAGCCCTTGAGACAGCTATAAGCCCTGCCAATTTTATACAGTGCCATTCCTTCATGTAACTGTACTGGCCTGACGGAGAATTACTGAAAACACGTGTTGGACAACTTGAATTTTGAAGTGTAACATGGCAATATTTGCTGAACTTAGACAAAATATTTATTGTTGGTCTGATATACGGGTGGGCATTGCAAGGGCGAAGGTTGAGGAAAGGTATCCATGAAAGGGAGTTCAAATTACAGTGAAAACCTGTCAGACTTGATTAGAATTCAGCACGTTGGACAGCAGGGGAGAGCGGGGCGACGAAAGGACGGGTGTGGGAATGCGGTCATTATCTAACCCTACCGTGGCCGTGCGAGGTTGATCACGTGTCCAATTGCTTACAGTGCTCCGGTTTTCTCATACCTATTGCAGTGGCCTCGGCAAAGCGCAGGAGACGCCCAGTCCTAACCCGAAGTAGGACCTTAAATGCAATCATTGGATCACCGTATGGCCTGTGATTACTAATTAAACATCTGGGCACCTTATTTTCCGCCCCTAACAGCCGCTTCGTCATGTGTTCAGCTGACCTCGCACTGCCACGCTGAGGATCGATATTGACCATAATCCCCATTCGCACACCCGTTCTCTCATTCCCGCCCTTGCTGTCCCGCGTGTTTAGTTCTAATTACGTCTGAGGGGCTCAGATGTATCAGAACGACATTCGTAAACACATATGATAATTGCGAAGAAGCAGACACGATCGCTGGAACAAACGCGCCTACAGCAACTGCATCCTATAAATACTGCAACATCTGATATTGCATGTTGGATAGTAGCATTCGAGAAGTATACAGCATCGGTATTTGGGGCTGTTCGAGGAGTCTCACACGTGATTTTCAATATTGTTGGAGCGTAAGGTGTTTTAGGCGGAGGAAATATTTGTGGCATCTTTCTAAGAAATCAAAAGAAGATCAAACCACAATTCGCATTTGAAAAAAGGGGCCGTCAAATGTGATCATAGGCCAGGCTATGAAATTAAAACTTGACGAGCTAATACAGCTATTGTTCCTCCTGCTTATGGTCGCCTAAATCTTATTTTTGCAGTATAAAAGAGAGGACGTAAAAAATACCTAATCCCAGGGGTCTGTGTGTAGAAATTACTGAAGCGGAAACCGCCTTTCTCAAAACACCTGCTCCGGCCATGCTATACGATGCTGATACAGATGGAGGGATATTTCAAATTGTATATTTTTCATTGCGTGTATTTACATCGACTGGCAGGGGATATCATACACCCGACTGCACTCTGGGATTTAATTATTCCTTGGTTTTTGTGACAATATCGCGCATGGCGTATCTGTGCTGGTGGGCAGTTTTAACGCCTACACTTGATGTGCTAACTCACTAAATGTTAACCGAAATTCTGAAAGCGTTTTGACTCGCAATGAATTCTTGTGTATGGTCGTGCCGTTAATTATCATGCAGCATAACCCCACGACATTTCAGTTACTTCATGGTGCCGGCCCTTGAATGAATTTCTTTTCGGCAGCCTGAAAAAAACTATCCTTTGCAAAAAATGACTAATTATGTAACAGGTATTTTTCTCATTGTTTTTAAATTTTTTACAAATTCAAATATATTTCACAGAAAGCACGCCTAAAAATGTTCGTCCATAACTCATTAGTTAAAAAATATCATCTTTTTATATTGAAAACTTTCGGGAAGGGCATAATCCGGTTTAAAGAACGTTTTTAATTATGTGATTTTTAAGACCATGAAATGCCCATCCACAAAACAACGTTTCTCTGCAATCAAAATGTCGTTTGTAAAGTTTAAAATACGGCTTGGATCCACTATAAATTTTATGAACCCCATTCGGTATCCTTTTGATATCGTTTATGAATGTGTAATTTCCGTACACGAAAATAGATAGCTTGTAGTGTGGAGACCCTGAATGCAACTAAAATGGCAGTTCAGGTTCACACTTATTCGAAGACTAAAAAGTTTTTAAAACCAAATTATGCCTTCCCGTCTAGTTTATGGTTTAGGAGAAACGTACTTTCCTATCAAAGGAGTACGAAAATAAAAAAATTTTGCATGTTTTCTAAGAAATATATCCAAATTTACAAGTCCATCGAAAATCACTGAGAAAAGTCCAAAATAATTAAGTAGTCATTTTTTGCAGTGTAGGTTTTGCTGGCAGTTGTAAAGAAGATCATTCAAAGGTCAGCATCCGGGAGTTACTGAAATATCTTGGGATTTTGCTGCATGATAATTAGTAATACAACCATATTTTTTAGTCGGAGATGCATTTACAATTTCGGCTGAAATCTTATGAGTTAACCAATCCATTGTAGGGCTGTATCGATGCGCTCGCTCACCACGAAAGCGTCTTTAATGACAGTACGTGTTTCCGGCGGAGGACAAACACATATGTATCGGCTTATATAGGCCTTTCGTTAGCCAATACAAAAAATTGGCCTCAGAGATATCCGGCTTCATGTGCTTCAACTTCCAAGTTGCTGTGGTGAGTTCGGACTCGTCTGAAGATCGTTGTCGTTGACGACGGCTAATAAGCCAGAAATGGCCATTCCAGTCTCCCTTGTCTTTGTCGGTAATGCTATTCTGCCTGTATATCATGCGCCGCTGTGCGGCTGCTGGTTGGGCTCGAGAGAGAGTCCTTAAGGCACAACGGAACGAGTGAGTTCCGTATGAACGATCGGTGAGCGCCCCCTACCATTGTATATTCCCGATCGAAAACCGACAAGGCAACGGGCTCGTGGCCCGGTGAGTAGAGGCGTTGACTTCTAAACCAACAGGTCGCGAGTTCGAGGCTCGGGTGTTCCACACTTCGGGCTTGGGTATGGCTGGCTGACGACGGCTAGTAAGCCAGAAATGGCCATTCCAGTCTCCCTTGTCTTTGTCGGTAATGCTATTCTGTCGTAGAGTTTCTTTTACAAGCCACTGGATGATTAGTGTAAAAATTGAGATTCTGCGGGGTGTTTGTCTCCATTTCGCATTTGGAGATCCGCCAGTCGAGCGGTTGTTGTTTCTTTTCTTCCATCCTCTAAAACTACGCTTCTTTGGATTCTGCAGCATGTTCTTTTGGCCGAAAAAAACGTGTCTTGTCGTAACAGAGCCAATGGTTCGAGTCCTGTTGGATGGAAGCGGTCTTTTCCAGTTATTATACAACCTGTTCGGTAACAAAACCGAAGACTTGGGAGCCAACTGCGCTTTTCGATTACTTCTTTGTTTTTAAGATTTCGCTCGGCCCATGTGGCGCCCGCATAGATTTCATCTACCGGCAGTCACTAGACGTGGCTAATCGAGTACACCCAAGAAAACAGTTACACCGATTACGCGCTGTCCGACAAGAAGTGTGGACACCAAATGTCATACGGCGTCGGATGCTTCCTAAGTGCGGAACAAGAGCTTAAGCTTTTGCAACTTTATTACCACCAGTCGTCCCAGGCAGGATCGTACCATCAACTTAAACAGAACTGAGGTATGAGGGGAAGTTCTATCAGTAGAAGACATTGTTTCCCTATTGGTCCAAATGAAAAACCCCCTACTTATTGCACACTGTCACGTGATATTCAAGAAACGCACATTGCTGAAGTCAACAGTTGCATTGGCGATATGACACCGACACAAATTTCCGACAGAGTAAGCGATGCTGCAAGCATGACGTGGAACGTCCCAAAAGGGAAGCGATATTGGAATGCTCTGGACCTTGACGAAAACCGTTGCAAGTGGCTGTTAGCGCAATCGGTCTGAAGCGCCAGAGCAGAAGTATATGTTATGCGAAAACGTTTCGCTACCTTGCGTAGGTACCTCCAATGAGGTATAGAATTACTGCTCACGATTACCTGAGCGGTAAATAAAGAAGTGATTTAAGCTGTTTGATAGTAAAAAATCCGCAGAGCATTTTCCAATAATGCTCGAAAAACTGTTAGGAGACCTAGTTTTGAAAGAAGTTTGACAGTAGAACGCAGCATCACATAAAATGAAAATTTTGAATTTTCGACCTTTTTCTTGAAAAAAGTACTAGGTAATATTCTTTCACGGAGCTTCGAAAAGGAGCTTTTGAATGATTGAAAATTGCGTAATATAATTTTGCCGGAAGCAAAGCCTTCAAACTGGCGCAGACAAAATCCTCTGCATCGTAAAGCGCATGGAGATACAGAAAATTCATGTTCTATATTCCATTTTTAATCTGATTAAAATAAAATATATTCGGCTAATCCTCATCCTCAAAGAGCACCCATTTTCGATTTTTAATGAAAAATGTTTTAGAAGAATCCGAAACATCATTATTATGCCTTGCAGAAGCCTGGTAGTGTAAATTTTTAGAAATGGCTTGACCCACCTGGGCTGTCTGTTTGAAACCTTTTTCTCTTCTATCCCATCAACACAGTTGGTCGTTGTATGAGATGCAGAAAGCTGCAGTTTGGCTGCCCTATACCAACAGGCATTGATACTCTACGAATGTTCCCAATTTTAAAATGCTCCAGCAACCATCTAACGGTTTCATTAAGGTAAAGGTTTGCGCTTTTCTGTCTAGTTTTGATTTTTATAG